TTGGGCGTAGGATAGCTTGCTTTGTCTAGCCTAGGTTCTACCCTTGCTCTCCATCATCTGCCACTACAGCGTCGCTGTCCTTCACTCTAGACTCCGGTGCGTCAGCCTGTTTCTTCCGCGACCACGCCGCCCTCACGCCGCTTGCTGCGCTTGATGCTGTCGCCCTTGTGGACCCCTCCTCTGGTCTTGTAGTTGCTCGCAGCTACACTACCCTTACCTGTCCGGCGGTTCCCTCGGGTTCCCTTACAGGCCTGCACATCCCTTTGTTCTCCAGGAACTTAGTTGGTGTCGGCTGTCTTCAGGACCTCGGCGTCACCACTACGTTCCCTGGTCACGAGCGGTACACGGTGTCTTCCGAGGCCACCTCAGGTGCCCCTCTTGCAACGTTCTCCCGGGACCCTGTGTCTGGCCTGTTTACGCTGGACACTACTCCCCCCCCGGCGGGCAAGTCCTCCTCCGGTCCTGCGTCCACCCAAGTAGCTGCGACCTGCTCATGTCAGTTGCTCACTCACCCGTCACTGTTGTGGCACCACCGCCTAGGTCACCCCGCGCTCCCCCGCCTGCGTCACATGTCTCAGCACGGTCTAGCTGTCGCATGACTCTTGGTAACATGAAGGTACCAAGAATGCATGGGACAGCGCTGAAGTTTGTGGGTAAGAGTAGAGTGTAGCTTTTACTGTGTACAGTGTTATGCGGTTTTGGGATTGGATGTACAGTACAGAGTTCGGGGATGGGAGGTTGGCGCGGAGACCGACAGTTGGAAGGCTGGGAGATCTGACGTCATCCACGTCAGCAGGGTTGAGAGCGACGCGGTAAGCAGGCATGCTGGGAGGGGATTGGAGCAGAGATGGCACAATTACCGGGAGCCATTACGGTGGAGAAAACCCCGAAAAGGCGCGCGGCTTGAGCAGTTGAGCAGTTGAGCAGTTGAGAGGGAGCAGCAAGAGGTAGTAACCTATAAAAGACGCCAAGGGTAGAAGGTGAGGGATCTAGGGTAGCTTGTCCCCAGAAGAGGGGGGGGAGAGAGAGCCAGGGAGAAGGAGTGTGCAACTGCGTCCTCGGCCTCCCTGCGTCGCTCCCTGCTCTCCCTCCCTCGCCTGCGCCACCGTGCACGCCTTGCGTCGAGGGCCGGTTGCGCCGTGCTCCTCACTCCTCCTCACTTCGCCCTGCCGCTGCACCCCTTCAGACCCTGCACTTGGACGTCTGGGGCCCAGACCCTGTCCCTGGACCGCGTCGCGAGCGCTACTTTCTGGTGCTCGTTGATGACTTCACGCGCTACACCACGGTGTTTCCCCTAGAGCGAAAGGCCGACGTACCTGACGTTCTTATCCCGTGGCTCGTCGTTGCATGCCTCCATCGCTGTCTCCCTGTGCTGTGTCTCCACTCCGGCCGTGGCGGTGAGTTCGCCTTTGGTCGGCTGGGTCAGTTCTGTCATGCGGAGGGTATCACCCGGACGTACATCCTACCGGACTCCCTGCAGCTAAATGGGGTCGCTGAGCGATGCATCGGTTTGGTCATGGAGGTGGCTCGTACCTCCATGATCCATGCCAGTGCACCCCATTTTCTGTGGCCGTCCGCCGTTCGCTACGCCGCTTACCAGCTTAACCTCTGGCCTCGCTCTTAGCGGCCGCAGGTTTCGCCGACCCTTCTTTGCACCGGGTTCCCTGGTGACAAGTCTGCGTTCCACGTCTGGGGCTGCCTCGCTCACGTTCGTGCCTCCGGCACGGACAAGCTCACTGCCTGCACCAACCCCTCTGTCTTCCTGAGTTTCCCCCTTGACTCGTCTGACTGGCACTTCTACCACGCGTTGTCTCACCGCTTCCTTCACTCCCGTGACGTCAATTTCGACGAGTCTGTCTCCTTCTTCCACCGCTTTCCTCACCGAGGTCTCCCGGTTCCCCCCCCCCTGTTTCTGGTTCCCACTCCCCCGGTCGCCTTTGCTGCCCTCCCTCCCCATCCTGCTCCGTCTGGTGTGTCTCACGTCACTCCCCTCCTGTCGGTTGTCTCGGTCGAGGAGTCGGCTGGCTCCGGTGGCCCCACGGTGCAGTTTGCGCTGCCTGTCCATCCCTTGGTGTCTCCTCCTCCCTCGTCGCAGTCGCCGCCGTAGCCACCACCGTCACCGCCGCCGCAACCGCCGTTGTCACCGTCGCCGCAGCCACAGCCGTCGTCGCAGCCGCAGCCGTTCGTGGACTCTGGGGGTGCTAGAGTTGGAGAGGGTGCTAGTCCTGGGGCTCCTGTCGTGGCTTGTCCCGGCGGGCTCGGGGGTGGCACCAGCGCTGGAGACGTTTCTCGTTCTCGGGGTGCTGGCGTGGAGTGTACCGGAGGTAGCAGTGGTGCAGCTGGTGGTCCAGGTGTCGGCGTTGAGCAGCAGCAGCAGCAGTCGCCGCCGGTGTCCGCCCTTCACCTGCTCGGCCTTCCCTCCCCTAACCGCACGCCTGCGCCTCCCTCGCCGTCTCTTCCTCTTCCTGTTCACAAACCTGTGTTTCCTCCGCCGGACTCGACCCCGGCTCGTTTCCCCTCTCGTTCCCCTCCAATTACTCCTCTTTTGTGTCCTGACCCGACGCCTCCGTCTCACGTCTGACCTCGCCGTCCCTCTCGTGCTTGTGCTGTCTCTCCTGTTCAGCGTTCTCACCCTATGTTGCTATGTTCCCAAGCCTCTCGTCCTCCCCGTTTGCCTTGGCCTCCTACGTTGTCGCTCACTGCCGCGCCTCCCCCTCTGTATGACTACCTGTGTGCCGCTTGTCCTCTTGTTCCTCGGGTCCTTGAATCTCTCGTTACCGACCCGTCTGTTCCTGTCTCGAGTCTTGACGCTCTTGTAGTTGCTGTCGCTGACTTTGCCTCTACTCGCCGCCTTGACTTCGCTACCGCTCTGGTCTCTGACCCTGTCTGTCCTCCGTCAGTCGGGGGTGCTCCTGCCCTCGGTAGTGACGTCTTGGAGGACCGGCAGTACAAGCTTGCTTTCCTGTCAGAGGCTGCTCCCCATCTCTGTTCCATGCTGCTAGTCCCTGAGGGTGACCCCGACGCCTTTGACATCTCGACCCCTCGCACCTATACAGAGGCGACCTCGGGACCCTGGGCCTCTCAGTGGATAGCTGTCATGGAGCAGGAGATGTCATCTTGGAGGGCTACCAGCACCTACGTCGACGCAGTTCCCTCACCTGGGGTGAACGTAGTCGATGGCCGGTGGCTCTTCAAGGTGAAGCGCCCCCCTGGAGAGCCGCCTGTGTTCAAGGCGCGCTACGTGGCTAGAGGCTTCAGTCAGCGAGAGGGGGTGGACTTCTTTCAGACCTTTGCCCCGACCCCGAAGATGACTACTTTTCGGGCGCTGCTACACGTAGCAGCATAGCGTGACTACGAGCTTCACTCCCTCGACTCCTCCACAGCTTTTCTTCAGGGCAGCCTACACGAGCAGGTCTACCTGCGCCGCCCTCAGGGCTTCGCCGGTACTTTCCCTCCTGGGACCCTGTGGCTCCTCCGGCGCCTCGTGAGTGGCACGACACGTTGCGTGCCACGCTAGCTGACTTGCAGTTCTTTCCGTCCTCTGCTGACCCTTCGCTCTTCGTTCGTGCTGGCCAGACTCCGTTCTACATCCAAGTCTACGTAGACGACCTGGTCTTAGCTACAGCAGACAGAGACGCGTTGGCCTCCGTAAAGGGTGCGCTGCTGAGGCGACACACCTGCACTGACCTTGGAGAACTGCGCCGCTACCTTGGCCTGCAGATCTCCAGGGACAGAGCAGCGCGCACCATCACTCTTACACAGTCATACTTGGTGCGCCAGGTCCTTCAGAGGTTCGGTCTTCAGTTGTCCTCCGCACAGCCCACACCTCTGCCGGTAGACAAGAGGCTCTCAGCTCCAGTTCCCGAGGAGTCAGCAGAGCCCAGTGGTCCTTACGCAGAGTTGGTGGGTTGCCTCATGTACCTGATGACTTGCACTCGTCGCGATCTCGCATACCCTCTCTGCATCCTGGCCCGCTTTGTGGCCACAGGCAGACACCGACCACAGCACTGGTTGGCCGCTAAGAGGGTTTTGCGTTATATTGCAAGTACTTCGGGCATGGGGCTAGTGCTGGGAGGATGCAGGCTAGTGGTCCTTACTGGGCACACAGACTCTTCTTGGGCAGACGACGCCGAGACCCTCCGGTCCTCCCAGGGCTAGTGCTTCAGCCTTTGTTCTAGTGCCATCTCGTGGAGGTCCACTCGCTCCTCATCTGTTGCTCAGTCTAGCTGCGAGGCTGAGAAGTACGCCGGTGCCATGGCGGCACAGGAGCTCCGTTGGCTGACCTTCTTGCTTGCCGACTTAGGTGAGCGGCCTAGCTCTGCCCTGGTTCTGTACGCTGACAACAGGGCCATGATCCTCCTGTGTCAGGAGCCTCGACTTGAGGGCAGAGCGAAGCACATCCAGCTGCGGTACTTCCTTTTGCGCGAGCTTCAGCAGCGTCGCCAGGCTCGCGTAGTACACTTGGCCTCCGGTGCCAACACAGCTGATATCTTTACTAAGGCGCTTCCGCCTAGAGATCATCAGCGGCACTGCTTGCAGTTAGGTCTAGTCCCTCTTGACTCTCACTTGCTAGGCCCTTGAGTGTGTACTCCTTTCTATTTATGCCTTCCAGATTGGCCTTGTGGCTTTTCTTCCAGTGGTTGGACTAGTAGTGCCGCCGTTGTTTGCTCTGTCTTGTTTGTACTCTTGCTGACTGGTCTTCGGGCCCCTGCCTCAGAGGTTGGGCTAGTAGTGCCACCTTGAGCTGCGTGTTTCTTGCTCAGCACTACCCCTTATCAAGCCTAGGGGGTGTGTCAACTTATACATATATTGTTATGTAGAAATTATAGGCTAGATAGGGTATGTTCTTAATGGGTACAACCTAAACGCTATATCTCCCGTGTTCTCCCTTCTTCTATTCATTCTTTCTAGTCTTAACAATGTAACGTGATTGGACTCCAACGGTGCCCAGGCGGCACTGTGCATGGATCTTAGCATGACTGACACGATGGACTACTTGGATGATTAGCAGGGGTGGAAGTGGAGGGGCGATGCTGCTGTACTGCTGTCTGAGTGGGAGAGCTCGTGGATTGTAAAGCCCAAGTCTATATTAGCACCCAGCCCTTACTGGTATGCTATCTTCTGGTCTAGTAAATTTTGTTACCGTAAGGAGCTCTATAAGTGTGTACAGAAGAAAGGCATGCTTGCTTGCACCATCATGCATAGGCAAGCTCAAACGCGCTAAAAACGGGCAAAAAGCTACAGTACGGAGTGAGAGAGTGGTGTCTAGATGGGCACGGCCTCGAAGAGGCGGGAAAAGTAAAACTTGGTGCCCGTCATCTCCTTCTTCACCACGCGCCACCCCGCCTTCTGCTCGCACACACACCAAGCACACGGCGCGCAGTGAAACGGGTGGGAGGAAGCAGGGAATCTGGTATTGGCAGAATAGTAGTGAGGGCAAGCTGCATGCATGCACAGAGCAGGCGCACAGCAAGCCTGCACCAGTGGAGAATACCGCAGGGCAAACGGTTGGAAGCGAGAGAGGGTGGCACTGACCTTGAGGGCGCCCTCCACCTCCTCCTCTGAGTGCAGGTACGCGCGCGTGGCCTTGGATGGACCGGGGAAGAGCTCCCCCACTCGCTGCACACCAGACATGGCGAATCACCGTGGGGAATACAGGGGGGGGGGGAGTACGATGGGGAAGATGGTGAGGTGCGGAGCGGGGTGGGGAGATGAATGCATGGTGAATGGGAAGCGGAACGGCGGACTCGGAGCACAGAAGCTAGGACGCGACAGCAGGAAGCTCTTGGCTGTGAGACGAGGCTAGGAAGGACCATGAGGCAACAGCCTTTGGGAAAGCAGCAGAGGAAAGACAGACTTAGAAGCCGTGCGTTTGCCTGACTTGGGAAAAGCATAGGGCTTGCCGACTGTGCAGGAGAGAGTACAGCAAGTGAGCAGGGCAGCCGCGCACCTTGAGGAAGGCGTAGTAGGGCGTGTAGGGCGCGAAGCTGAGGATGACTCGGTCGGTGGCGAGCGACGCGAGATGCGCGATCATGGCGTCCGACTTGTCCTGCGGGTAGTGGATCAGCACGTCCAGACACGCCACTGGGGGGTGCGGGGAGATGTGGGAAGAAATGTGCGAGGAGCGGAAAAAGCAAGAGAGAGATGGGGAAGGGACGCAGTGCGCGATGATGGCGTCCGACTTGCCCGCTGTGATGATTGTAATTGCGCCCGACGTCCTGCGGGTGCTGGACGCGCACGTCCGCACACCCCACTGGGATGGGCGATGTGGGGGGGATGTTGGGGGCGAAATGGGGAGAGAGAGGAAGGGAAGAGATGCGAGGTGAGCGCCGGTGGCATCCACACACGGCACGGGGGGAAGGGGATGGCCGAGGTGGTATGAGAGAGGCAGGATGGGAATGAAGGGGAAGGTGAAGGAAAGGGTGAAGTGAGAGCAAAGGGAAACCTGTCCTGGCCTGGCAAGACCTGTCCCGTGTGACATGCAACGGTGTCATATCACAGACTCGTGGTGTGGCGCGACCATTCACTGGTTCCCTCCCCATCGGGCAGTGCATCGCCCCCCGCTGCGTCTGCCAGTGCTGCCTTGTGGCAATAGCCTGCAGCATCTTATCGCGCACTAATGTGGTACTTCCTGCACCCTCTTCCCAATGTGGTGACTCCGGGTCCTTGGCATCCAACACAGCCATCACCCACCCCTCACTCGCCTCTGATTCTGCTCGTGCTTCCTTGTGCTAATACCCTGCTCGTGCTTCCTTGTGCTAATACCCTGCTCGTGCTTCCTTGTGCTAATACCCTGCTCGTGCTTCCTTGTGCTAATACCCTGCTCGTGCTTCCTTGTGCTAATACCCTGCTCGTGCTTCCTTGTGCTAATACCCTGCTCGTGCTTCCTTGTGCTAATACCCTGCTCGTGCTTCCTTGTGCTAATACCCTGCTCGTGCTTCCTTGTGCTAATACCCTGCTCGTGCTTCCTTGTGCTAATACCCTGCTCGTGCTTCCTTGTGCTAATACCCTGCTCGTGCTTCCTTGTGCTAATACCCTGCTCGTGCTTCCTTGTGCTAATACCCTGCTCGTGCTTCCTTGTGCTAATACCCTGCTCGTGCTTCCTTGTGCTAATACCCTGCTCGTGCTTCCTTGTGCTAATACCCTGCTCGTGCTTCCTTGTGCTAATACCCTGCTCGTGCTTCCTTGTGCTAATACCCTGCTCGTGCTTCCTTGTGCTAATACCCTGCTCGTGCTTCCTTGTGCTAATACCCTGCTCGTGCTTCCTTGTGCTAATACCCTGCTCGTGCTTCCTTGTGCTAATACCCTGCTCGTGCTTCCTTGTGCTAATACCCTGTGCTAATACCCTGTGCTAATACCCTGTGCTAATACCCTGTGCTAATACCCTGTGCTAATACCCTGTGCTAATACCCTGTGCTAATACCCTGTGCTAATACCCTGTGCTAATACCCTGTGCTAATACCCTGTGCTAATACCCTGTGCTAATACCCTGTGCTAATACCCTGTGCTAATACCCTGTGCTAATACCCTGTGCTAATACCCTGTGCTAATACCCTGTGCTAATACCTTTAATACCCTGTGCTAATACCCTGTGCTAATACCCTGTGCTAATACCCTGTGCTAATACCCTGTGCTAATACCCTGTGCTAATACCCTGTGCTAATACCTTTATACCTGTGCTAATACCCTGTGCTAATACCCTGTGCTAATACCCTGTGCTAATACCCTGTGCTAATACCCTGTGCTAATACCCTGTGCTAATACCCTGTGCTAATACCCTGTGCTAATACCCTGTGCTAATACCCTGTGCTAATACCCTGTGCTAATACCCTGTGCTAATACCCTAATACCCTGTGCTAATACCCTGTGCTAATACCCTGTGCTAATACCCTGTGCTAATACCCTGTGCTAATACCCTGTGCTAATACCCTGTGCTAATACCCTGTGCTAATACCCTGTGCTAATACCCTGTGTTATTGCTAATACCCTGTGCTAATACCCTGTGCTTTGTGCTAATACCCTGTGCTAATACCCTGTGCTAATACCTGTTTTTTTACCTGTGCTAATACCCTGTGCTAATACCCTGTGCTAATACCCTGTGCTAATACCCTGTGCTAATACCCTGTGCTAATACCCTGTGCTAATACCCTGTGCTAATACCCTGTGCTAATACCCTGTGCTAATACCCTGTGCTAATACCCTGTGCTAATACCCTGTGCTAATACCCTGTGCTAATACCCTGTGCTAATACCCTGTGCTATATTTAATACCCTGTGCTAATACCCTGTGCTAATACCCTGTGCTAATACCCTGTGCTAATACCCTGTGCTAATACCCTGTGCTAATACCCTGTGCTAATACCCTGTGCTAATACCCTGTGCTAATACCCTGTGCTAATACCCTGTGCTAATACCCTGTGCTAATACCCTGTGCTAATACCCTGTGCTAATACCCTGTGCTAATACCCTGTGCTAATACCCATTGCTGATTCTTACGTATGTGGCGGCTGCTGCGTTTCCTCAGCAATGTGGTCTCTCCATCCATTGGGTGGACTGCAGGCATTTGGCGTCACCGGCTGGCATCATCCACCCCTTACACACCTCTGCTTCTCGCAATGCTGCCTCGTGGTAACACCCTGTAGTAACTCCTGCATTATCCTGCTAGCGTGCTCCCAGCATTTCCTTTCTACTGTGGTATTTCCTGCACTGTCACCTGTGTGGTGTCTCTTTTCAATGGACTCCTCGCATCACCCACCGCTGGTGCGCCCCCGCTTCTGCCAGTGCGTCTGTGTTGGGACGCCCTGTGGACCTTGCTGCATTCACTCACCGGTGTGGTATTTCCCCTCAATGGACTCGAGGTCCTTGGCGTCGAACACGGGCATCACGAGCTGCTTCGCCGTCTTCGCCTCCGCCAGGGCCACCTTCGCCCTCTCCGCGCCCTCGCCCGCCTGACGCAACGCAAGACAGACACCATTAGGCGGAAAAACGAATGAACCCGCCACAGGCGATTGACGGGGTGGCCGATTCACGAGTATTAGAGCTCCAAAATGAAAGCAAGGAACGAAGCGCCAAGTAGGACAGAGAAGAACGAGGGATTCGGGCAGAGTAGGGGCGCCAACCAAAGAGAGAGCATGGTTGATTGGTTGGAAACTCGACGATGCTCCGGTCAGCGGAGTACAATTCAACTCGCGAACTTCACGATCAGAAGCCATCTGTGCGCGTTGTACAACATTTTCTTTTGCGATTTATCCCTTGGTGGTGGTGAGGATGGGAAAGGCATACCATTGCAGCGGAGATATCGCTGGCGTACACCGTCGCTCCTTCCAGCGCCAGGGGGATGGAGAGACTGCCGGAGGATTGACGAGCAGGAGGGAGTGAGAGGGAACACGTTACAGTCCTCTTTGGGGCAACAGCAGAACGGGCCAGGATGGTCCGTGGTTCAATCGTCCCTTCCACTCACGACTACTCGCTGCTTCATGGAAAAGCCAAAGGCATGCGAGACCAGTTCCAGAGCACAAGGGAAGCGTGCTTGCCTGCCGGTGCCGCATCCCGCATCGCACACGGTGACGCCGTCCAGAGGGCCCTCCTCCCTCAACCACTTGAGCACCTGCGGCGCCGCACGCACGCACTCACAAGGCGGACACGTTGTTTGGACGAACATTGAGCCAAGGCGAAAGTCATAGCTGGCGAATAGCCCGGCTTGGGAACACTAGCGATCGTTTGATAGTGAGTAGCTACAGGATATCATCCTGGCAAACCAGCAGCTACTCGCAGACTCGTAGTGATGCTCAAACCGGGGATATAGAGACCAGTGCTCACCTTCTCGACAGTCTGGGCATGGCCTTGACGGATGTCCAACTGCAAGCAGGGGTGGGGTAAGTGCAAGTCACGGGCTGATGAAAACGGTCACAAGAAAAGAGAAATTCCGATAGCAGGAGAGCTAGCAAAGGTTCCTGCAGACGACGCAACTCGCGTAAGCTTTTCACCCTGGCAGAACGCTCAACTCGCGTTCGTGTGAAGCTTGCTTGCTGAAGGCATGTGCAGCCCCGGGAGGGGAACACGAATCTATCTTGCGACTTAATCCCCTCGTGGTGCGACGGCGCCACACGCAACGACGCGCACAGTGGAGGGCGCAGAGGACAAGGCGCGCACAGTGGAGGGCGCGGCGGACAAGGCGCGAGTGACTGACCTGCACGGAGTTGACGTCGTCCGTCTCGCCGTAGATGCGACGCCACCTGTCGTAGCCCGCCGTGTTGAAGTACTTGCGCACCTGCGATCGCACGAACCGTCGCACACACGCGAAACTTCGAGACACATGTGAATCGACGAGAAGCATGGGAAGCATCCAAGAAAACACTGAACGGCGACGGAGACCGGCAGACGCAGATGTAAAAGATTGCTCAAGATGGCGGCGCGATCGTGACAGGGTACGTGGAGTATTCAGCGAATTCGCGGTGCTAAGGGGCGTGCGGCATGGCGTGACGGAGAGAATGAGCCTACCGCGTCCTTCTCGTCACCACCGACTTCCTCCGCTTGCTTCTGTCGCCTGTGCACGCCAACAAGAGTACAATTAGTGCACATCCATACGGCCAACATCAACCGCGCAGATATGGGTGTGCGTCAGAGAGAACTAGAAATTTGCGGTACTACCGGTCGTTACAAGTAATACACACGAGAAAGTTCCTGGAAGATGAGGTTTTGAAGGCAGGCACTCGCCTCTTCTCGGGGTCGGCGAGTGAGAGCACCGTGGCGAGCGCAGCCAGCGCACCGCCGCCAGCAACGGCAATGCCGACGGAGCCGCCGTCGTCTGCATGCGATCGAGCCGAAAAATGTGGAAAGACGTCGACATCGTTAGCCGTGTTGCTATGAACGCACACTAGAGCGGTCACCTTCGGTGCATTGAATCCTACAAAAGCCTCCAGCAAGACTAGGAAACAGCTGAAGTCCTGCAGGCGAGGACGCGTGTAGCGGCGCTGAGCGCACTAACCGAGAAGAGCGCGTGCTGGTGCGACGGGCCTGGGAGCTGCGATGGACACCCTCGCGGCTCTTCTTCCATCCACGCTCAGCGCTTGGCCCGTGAAGGCCGTCTGCAGGCTGACAGACGCGGTTTGGTGGAGGGCGGCCATGAGGAAAGGTCTAATTCAGCGTGCTCGGCGAGTCGTCAATGGAGCGTCGAAGACAGCACAGGCGACACGACAGGCTGAGGCAAGCTCGAGAAATTGGAGCAGTGAGTTCACAATATGTATAGCCTTCACTGTACTCAGCCAGATGCTATTGGAAAACAGGCAAATGAGTGATGATCGAATTTCGAAGCCACTGCTGGGATTGCACGAACTTCGAGGAACCTCCAGTTTGGATGGGGCCTTGGGGCTAGAACCGTGGGCGGGTTGGTGGTCCGATTACACGTGGCATGTTTAGAGAGCTGTAGGGTGCTTCTCTGTGCCGTGGTGTCTCTCCGTGGTTGGTCGTTGGATTGTCTTCCACAAGTTCTTGGGAGGTGTTGTGGGCGGGTTTGAACTCGATTAGGGTAATAGCCACAATTGCTGTGGTACACCCGCTAGGTAATCTACCAGCAAACTGTTGAAATATTTTATGGTTCACTTACTAATTAAACTTGCGGTGGTTGTCCACCCAAGCAGCGTTCTCAATCTTCGTGACAAAGCGTTACCATACGTCGTTTTTTTCGTTCAGTTACAGGGGCGGGTGTTTTTTCGCTGCACTTCTTTTCGTGAATCTGCTTCCCTCCCACCACCCTCATCACCCCTCCCCCACCCTCCCCTCCTTCCCTCCCCTAATTTCTACCCTAATTTCTAATTTCCTCCCTCCTTTCTGCCTTGGCTCCCTGCCCTGTGCGTAGTGCCTTCCTTTCTCTATCTCTTAGCCAACCAGGAGCCGTGTAACTCCCTCCCCGCCGGTCCGCAAGCATGGCGACAGAAGCAGTGGTGGCCGTAGAGGCGCCCGCCGGGGGAGCCAACGACGTGAAGCTCTTCGGCAAGTGGTCCTTCGCAGCGGAAGACATCACGGTATGCGCTATAAGCTGCACCGATGAGGCCACTGTCGGCGTGGTTTTCCTTCCGATCGCAGACCTGGCTTATTCGCAGCTTGCCCGACGACACGGTAGTCCTGGCAGTGGTAGCGAAAAGTTCAATCCAACTTCTGGTCGGCAGTGATAGTCTGCCGGCAGCAGGTTCGAGCAGACCTCTTCCGCGCGGTACCGCTGTCGTCCTCGTTCCGTGGACCCGGCTCGCCTGGGCGTCCACGTTTTAGATTTCTCAGCTGCGCCACGTGCTACGCAAATGGCGGATGTTTCTGCTGCAATTCTCATCATCGATAACCGGGAACGCCAGCTTTCTGTAACCTCAGGACAGCGAAGTTTCTCCCTCCTGCTCCTGCCGTTAGTGCCTCGATGCCGTCAGTCGCAGGAAAAAAAAACAAACTTAGACGAGGGTTAGTCGCAGAGAAAGAGTTGTTAGACGAGGGTTAGTCGCAGAGACATCGGGGGGTTGATTGGATGACTGGAGGGGCACCCAGGTTGACGAGAATCGGGGAGTGTTGCGCTTTCTTAACTCAGTCCGCTTAGCTTTCCGTACCATTGAGCCGTAGTTGGTGGAAGCCGTCACGGAGGGTTTCCGGGTCGTGAGGGTCACGTGTTGCGGCGTCACGCGCGTTCGTATTCCGATCGATGGGTTTCCTCGAGTCGGCGTTCATGCGCCGTTGCGTGCGAGTTAGACATGGCCGAGCGGGAATCCAAGGGTAGATGGTGCGCTTGGCGACCCGATTGTGCGAGTTGAGCGCGTTGGGTCCTCGAGTACGCCGGCACGCGGCGGACGTCGATGGTGCCGTCGCCGCTCTTCCTGCTGTTTTCTGAGCGCACCTCACCTTCCATGGCCGCTCCGTTTCACTTCTCACCGAATCCCGCTCTCCTCTCAACCTCGTCATACCCGCCTCCTTTTGTCTGTCCTCATGCCCTTCCGCGTCCTCTCCCCGGCCGGCAGGTTAACGACTTGTCGCTGGCCGACTACATCGCCGTCAAGCATGCCATCACCGTGCCGCACACTGCCGGCCGCTACTCCGCCAAGCGCTTCCGCAAGGCGCACTGCCCGATCATCGAGCGGTGAGTGAGGCGCAATCGAGGTGTCGCGGCAAGAGCGCGCCTATCACCTCCCTATTGCCCAGCGCCGCCGCCCGACGACCTCCTCGTCCGTCTGAGCGGCTGTGGTCGGGCCGACAATGAGGGGGAAGTACACTCCTAGTCGCCCAAATTCCGAGACGTCTCTGGGCCAGGTTTAGGGGGGCTTTCACCCAGGCAATGGGAGGGCTGGACGCTTCTAGTCTGACGTGGTTCCACCTCAAGGGCGCCGACAGGCACGAGAGCACGGATGTTGCCCCTTGCGCCCCCCCTTTCCCCACCCCGCTCCCCCACCCCGCCCCACTTTCTCAGCCCCTTGTCGGCTCCTTGTGATGCATGCGCGCCACGGCACTCATTGCAGTCCACGCGCCACGCGCCACGTCCGTGACATGACTCTCGCACCACGACTTCCTCCGCGTGCCCCACCGCAGGTTCAACCGACGACCGTAATGACGCGCGCCCGCAACAACGGCACGGAGCTCACGCCGTTTTCTCCCCTTCCCGCCACCCCTCTCGTTGCTCCTCTCCTCTCTCTTTTCGTCGCCTTGTCATCTTGTTCCCGCGTGTATTGGCGCTGCCACAGGCTGACGAACTCGCTGATGATGCACGGGCGCAACAACGGCAAGAAGCTGATGGCGGTGCGCATCGTGAAGCACGCGATGGAGATCATCCACCTGCTCACGGACCAGAACCCCATCCAGGTCATCGTCGACGCCATCGTCAACAGGTAAGCTCTGCGCCGGCTCCCGGGCTCACACGCAAGTGCCACATGCGCACGTGCCAACGTGGATCTGCGCTTCAGCGGTGGAAGAATGACCCCTTTCGATGCTGCTGTGCACGGGTTTGCGAGGTTGGGGTGAAGAGGCGGGCACAGCATGGGCAGGGTGGGGAAGAGGACGAGAAAGTGGATGACGGACTGCATCCGTCCCCGCCTCGCACCACCAACCGCCTCCTCACTCATAGCCCTCCACGCTCACACTCTGCACGGTGGCCTGCGGGTGCTCACGTATCCAACTCTCCATCCCCGTGCTCTCCCTACCCCCCATCCCTTGCGCTGTGCCTCCCTGTGGCGCTGCCTCTCACCTGCCAAGTCGCCAACCCTCTCGCGCCCAAGCCCTGTCACCCTTCCCCTCACCTGTTCCCCCCCCCCCTCCTCAAACCAACAGCGGGCCGCGCGAGGACGCGACGAGGATCGGGTCGGCGGGTGTCATTCGCCGCCAGGCCGTCGATATCTCGCCGCTGCGACGAGTCAACCAGGTGTGTCCCTCGTGCGACACCGTAGACCGCGTGTGCAAGTGGGTCATCGTGACCCTCAATATCGGATTCACAAGAAAGCTTTATCGTGCCTGGTTTGCTCCTATCGTGCGTGGTTCGCGACCCCCAATATCGGAGTCCATCCCACTTGTTGCCCCGGCGCAATGCTCCAACTTCTCGCCTCATGGCAATGCGCTTTGACCTCAACCCTCCCAATCACCCCGCCTCCTTTCCCCTCCCTCTCTCCCCCCCCCCCTCCCCCAACCCCACCTCTCCCGCCAGGCCATCGCGCTGCTGACGACGGGGGCGCGCGAGGCGTCGTTCCGCAACGTGAAGACGATCGCGGAGTGCCTGGCGGACGAGCTCATCAACGCCGCCAAGGGCAGCTCCAACAGGTACGGTGGGTCTTGGCTTTAAGGGCAGCTCCAACAGGTACGGTGGGTCTTGGCTTTAAGGGCAGCTCCAACAGGTACGCCAACCAAGGGCTTTAAGGGCACCTCCAACAGGTACGGTGGGGCGGGGCTTTGAGGGTTGAGGTGTGTGGTGCAACAGGCGCGCAGTGAGGTGTTGTTGATGGTGGCCTGCTGTTGCTGCGGCGTCGTGAAATGACACAGTTTATGACAGACCTAATGTTTTTGTCCACTCGGTTTTCCTTCCTGTTCCCCATTACGTCAGAATTAAACACACTCCCTCCTGTTCCTCTCCCTCGACCCTCTCTTCTACTGATTGGACATCAATTTTCTTTGCCATGCAGCTACGCCATCAAGAAGAAAGATGAGATTGAGCGCGTCGCCAAGGCCAATCGTTAAACAGTGCTGGCTTTTCTTCGTGTCTTCAACTCCCAAGCTCCCAATAGTGCTCGCCTCCTGCCTATAGCGCTGTGCTTGTCGCTGTGATCACACAAGATAGGCTGCTTCAGCGTTGCATAGATAAGCCATGTGAAGCATTGTGTCTGGTATTTGGAATGCAAGTGGATTTCTGATATGAAACTTACGAACCTTGAGATTAGGGGTTGTGCGTAGAAGACAGCTTTGTGCATACAGCGTTGTTTCGCATTGAAGTCAACAACCGTAGTACACTCCCACCCGTTGTTATTGTAACCAATCGGATTGTTTCTTCAGGGTTGCGAACTGACGACGTGGTCTATGCTTCTTGCTTTGTGCCATCTGGCACGGCTGACGGTAACCGCTGGCAGTTGGGCGTTTGTCTCACACAGAGAAATCCTATCTAGGTCGTCGTTGACCGAAGAGTTTCTAGGGTTTCAGAAGCGAAGGCTTTCCACGGCCCCACTGGGACATGTGCGACTCTCTCGGCACTACAGTCAGCATTCGGTCAGCGAGGCTCGCTTGTAACTGTTTCGGGTTTCCCAAACCAGAACCGAGAAGCTTCCCTGAATCCCGAACCTAGCTTACAGGCTGGGCAAGTTACCATTGGTTGGTACAAACGACTTGTTGTTCCGTCGTCTAGAGGTCCACTCCACTTGCACTTCGTTCTCTTCAGGTCTGGTCGTCGCGTCTCCCCGGCGACCCTCGTCTCCCCGTCGCCGAACCACACGCTTGGTCCGCCCTGCCCTGCTCGGTGCCTGACCGACCGCCGCTAGATGCTTTTCAAACGAACGTTCGACGCCTGCTGCTCGCGCAGTCAAGTATCCACCACCTGAAAGAGCTCTGCCTGCCTGCTTCCCTTGCTCTGCCCCCGCGCCCACACGCAAGCCCGATCGGTACTGTACTCCGTCCGTTCCGCGCAGTAGTTCTCTCGTTTGGTCCCCCTCGATCTAGACGCCAGTATCGTCCGAGCGTGCTGTAGCCGTGCTCGCCGTCCTCCTCGTTTTTTCTCGTCGTAGAAGCTCGTCATTGCGCGCCTACCCCAGCTCTACGTTTCGCAGTATCGCGTTACTCCTGGATGTCGTCTTAACGGCTCACCTTGAAACAGCTCACCTTGAAGCAGCTCAACATCGATAGTTCCTTACCAGGCTTTCGTGCTTCGAGGCGTCTCGAGTCGCGCATTTTCCGCTACCAGCGAAGCACGCGTTCGCGTGCCCGTGGTCCCCTGAATGCAATGCGTCGTCTCGCTCGAGAGCTCCGTTCTCCAGAGCGTCTCCCGCCACCTAATCGTCAGGCGTGTGCGGAAATGCCCGGCGTCACAGAGCTGGCAGTGTGAGCAACTCCACTCAGATCTGTCCCGCGAGGTTTCTCGGTGACCCCCACGTTCGAGGCTCGGGCGTCGGCGAATGGCGCCAGCAAGCGACGCATCTCCGCCTCAATCACCTGCCGCGAACGGGCCGGGAGGAGACGTTCCGGGAGGAAACGGGTCGCGAGAAGACGGGCCGGTCGTTCCACAGACGTTAGAGCGGGGAGAGGAGCAGGAGCTGGCCGGCATGGGTGACAGACAGTCAGGGGAGGCCGGCGAGTCGGCAGGTTGGGAGAATGCGGCAGTGGCGAACAAGTCCGCTGCACCAGCCGCGGATGGCCAGCGGACGGTGGACTCTGCGGCTGCTGCCGCTGCCGCTGCCGCTCCCGCTGGCGCTGGTCAGGGGGTGGCGCGTGGCGGCGAGACCACGTCCGCTGTTGAAGCAGGCGCTCCGGCGCGCGGTCAGGAGACCACCAACGCTGTCATGTCGCAGGTAACCAGCAGTCTCAGGTAACCAGCAGTCCCGGGTTACCAGCAGTTGGCAGTTTCAAATAACCAGGTGCTAGGGTAACCAGCTCGGGTAGCCTGTCTCTGGTGACCAGCAGTTTCTGGTAACCAGCGAATCAGGTAACTAGCAGTCTCAGGTGATTGTCCCCCTGTCGCTTCCCCCTCGTGAGCCTCTAACGTCTATGCGTACCAGTCAAGCTGCCCATTGCTCTTACTGCCGTGCTGCTTCTGCACGTGCTCTGAGACATACTCGTTACTGCTGCCCCGCGGCTGAGTCAACCGTGCGTCATCACATCGCCTCGCCCCTTCACCTGCCGCATTCTCCGCTGCTGGCCTTTCCAATCCTTTCCGCCTCGTGCTTCCCCACCTCCCCCCTCACTGTTCCCGCCGTCTCCTCCCCCCCCCCCTCAGCTGGCGGACATGCGGGGCATGATAGAGCGACTGAGCCGCGAGAACGAGTCTCTGCGCGCCATAGTGGCGC